CACAAGAGTGTCCCACAAGAGTGTCCTACAAGAGTGTCCCACAAGAGTGTCCTAGAAGAGTGTCCCACAAGAGTGTTCCACAAGAGTGTCCTATAAGAGTGTCCCACAAGAGTGTCCTACAAGAGTGTCCCACAAGAGTTTCCTACAAGAGTGACCCACAAGAGTGTCCTACAAGAGTGTCCTACAAGAGTGTCCCAGAAGAGTGTCCCTTAAGAGTGTCCTACAGGAGTATCCCACACGAGTGTCCTACAAGAGTGTCCCACAAGAGTGTCCCACAAGAGTGTCCTACAAGAGTGTCCCACAAGAGTGTCCTACAAGAGTGTCCCACAAGAGTGTCCTACAAGAGTGTCCTACAAGAGTGTCCCACAAGAGTCTCCTATAAGAGTGTCCCACAAGAGTGTCCTACAAGAGTGTGCCACAAGAGTTTCCTACAAGAGTGACCCACAAGGGTGTCCTACACGAGTGTCCTACAAGAGTGTCCCAGAAGAGTGTCCCACAAGAGTGTCCTACAAGAGTGACCCACAAGAGTGTCCTACAAGAGTGTCCTACAAGAGTGTCCCAGAAGAGTGTCCCACAAGAGTGTCCTACAAGAGTGTCATTTGGACATATGTAGTGTTTCGAACGTGTTTACATTCGGGTTCGTGGGTTCCATTTTGTTTGGAACTTTTTTTGACACCGAGTGTTGGGATACCCTTAATTCTGATGAAAAGACACGCATCAACTTCTGTGAACACCGCGGCCGTGAGCAGATTGCAAGGTTGTCAGCACGACAGCAGCAGCTCGCAGTCGAACAGAGGCAGCTCATGGAGGAGAAGCAGCGAGCGCAGCGAGAGGGGCACAGAGACCCAACTGAGCTACGATCACCCGCCTCCCCGAAAGATGGTTTTTGTGTGGATAGTAATCATTCCGTATACTTTTTTACAAAAACTAGGTTGTGGCGGAACTAGCGTAACTAGCTTACCTGATCGACACCATATCAGGTGCGGGTCTTGGACTGGCCCATGTGTCGGGTGTCGACACTGTCGGCATCGTTCCAACCAGTGCCGTGTGATGGTTGGTCTTTCGATCGCGTAGGACTGGGAGTTGGAGCCGTTTCTCACTTCGAGCCACAAAGAAAAGCTGTTATTTTTTCATTTTGGGGTTTGTGAAAACAACACAAAGAAGGCGTTGAGGTCAAAGACTTTTGACCTGCTTGGGAACAGTCTTTGTAACTGGAAGTCCAGTGTCGTGCTTTCCTCAAACAAGAGAGTAGAACTCTCACCACACTTCTTAAGTTTCCAAACCTCCTACCCACTTGAAGACTTAACATTGCTTAAGATGTCTTGGACTGTTCAGCATTTCTGTCCGAGCACGGTGCCAAACGAGGCTCAAAAAAGGAAACACGCTCGCTTGCTGAAGACATTCCACCGCGCAGGACATCATTCGTTTACAGGGTTCCGCGAACATGGTCCCGTCCCAGGGGCAGCTCTGAGACAGGCTGACGCATGCATCAAAGGGGGGGGCGCATGCAGACTATACTTTGATGTGTTTTACAATTTTTGTGTTGGGGCCTTTCAACAGCTTTCACACTTGAGGATGGAATAGATGACATTTATCACATCTTAGTATCTGAGCCCTTGCTTCACCTGCCAATTCTTTAGAGATACACAAATGCAAATCCAGCATTTTGATATTTTTTGATCGTTTTGTGTTTGTCCCTTGTTCGGTGGTGGTGTTTGGGTGGGAGCGCGATTCTGAAAGGTGGCCATCGTTTACAGGAGACAGGAAACATGGAAGATCACATTCTAGTTGGCTAGGGGGACCAAGAGACTTCCATTTCTCGATGGCCTCCAACCTAATAGCAAGCTTTCTTCCTGTTATTTGTTCTTTAATTGTTTCTACTCCAACCTAATTTGGAGACAGGACACATGGAAGATCACATTCTAATTGGCTAGCAGGGGGCCAAAAGACTTTCATTTCTACAAGATGCACATAGAAGGGACCGGTGTGGATTTGGCAGATGATCTCGTCCCCTGTAGGGCCAGGCTGCCCAGGCCGTTTGGCCCATTTGTGGTCGTGACCGCATTGCTTGCGGTGAGTTCAGTCAGAACATGTGGCAGCAGAGGAGGTTTTTGATGAATCACATCTTCATGTCACAAGAGTTACAAGAAGGTCTTAGTGGTGCCAGTCGTGGCATGGCTTTAGTATTTGGATGACGAATCTTCTTCACGAGGTGGACACAAGAAACATTTAGGTTCCACACTTTTGCTTATGTCCACACACCCTTCATTCCCTGGTGCTGCCATCAAGATGTGAGATGTCAATAGGTGGAGCTCGCATTGAGCTGATTTGTCCACCCTGCAGCCTGCAGTAACCCCCCCTTCTTAAGGCCTGGCGATTCACTGTACAGTTGATCAATCGTTGCTTAAGCTAAGCTGTGTTTAGCTAAGCTTTTCGCATGTGGGTTTCTACCAATCCTGCAATTCTGTTGGGTGCACTGATGGTAAATGCCTCATCACCCGTCCCTCTGAATCTTGCAGTACCTCACGTGCTATCACTTGTCACATCTTATTTTTGAAAATCAGATTGCCGACTAACAAGCACATATCAAGCCTGGAGTTCGAAGAGTGGCCGAGTTGAAGCATTTAAGAATGTTTAAAGAATTAATTCGTTTAATGTTTTTCAGCCAAGTGGACTCCAAGCTTGAGCCGGTTTCAGAAAGCCGGCGCTGCAATCTGCAGTAATCTGCTCCCTTCGGACAACAGGTTGATTGGATGATTTGCTTCAACTTCTTTTCTCCAAACGAATGAACGCCCTCTCTTTGTCGAGTTGTGTCTTGGATGGTCCCTTTCTCTTGTAAAACAGCTCAGTGGAGCGTGTTTCTCTGGGCGTTTTGGTCTCGGCGTGTCTTGAAGGGAGATGATCGAAACCCATGTTTCCCAGTCGAACCTCCTGCCGGCTGCGTCCAATTCCACTCGAAGATTTAGTCGAAGATCGGGGATTGTGGGGGGCTTGGAGGGGCCTGGAGGCTCCATCGTTTCGGATTTTCGGACCTTTGAATTCCTTTCTGGTGAGAGATCTCTCAAAAGGAATTTCTGGGTGGCCTGGATCCGCAGAAAGACCTGCTGCCTCTTAGATCTTCCATTTTGGAGTACTAAGCCCAGAACGGGGGGGCCATTTTCAGGTGCTCCGCGGATTGAGGATCGGGTCGGTGTGGGTTTCATGAGAAACACTTGAAACGTCGGACGCATCCGGCTTTGTACCGTTTGGTGATCGATCACCGCGGAAAGGTTGCGGAAAAGGGTCGTGCGCTCTGTGACTACCTCCGGCAGACGGGAGTCCTTACGGCATTACGGCCTATACTTACTGCTGGTTCATCCATCGGCTCAGGCAATACTCCAAACAGGCCATGTTTTTTTTCTCTGAACTGACTGCATGGCCCCTAGTAGCGTCCTTGCTCCTAGTAGCGATGCCAGGAGCCCCTGTCTTGATGTGGTGTTTGCAACTCGTCCGATGTAGCCGTGACATGTGCCACACCAGCCGTGACGTGGCCCTTTGAGTGCGTTGTTTCTTTTTGGAAAAGAAGTCCCGGCAACGGCAACCAAATACGTGGGTCCTGAGATCTGCTTGGCATCGACGTGTTTGGACCAGGTCTAGTTCTACACTTCTTTCGACTCGTTTATGGTATTTTTTCTTGAAGAATTGAGGGTTTCTGTTCTTTTCTTTGACAAATTGGAACTCTTCGTGCACCAACAGTACTTTTGTTGCTAACAATAAGCTACTAGTAACAAGTGCATCGCTACTAGAAACAAGTGCCTTACTAGTAGTAACAAGCTAGTAGAAATCTGCCGACTCCGACGTCCGACGTGGACCCGGACGGTTCGACCGCCGTTCGCCACTCGCGGGCTCAACGGTTCGCTCCACGGTTCGACGAGGACAGTGTGAGACTCAGCGGGTTGGTGGCGACTTAGCGAGTTCAGCTTCTTGTTTCTAATAGCTTCTTGTTACTACTAGTAAGGCACTTGTTACTAGAAGCTTATTGCAAGTTCTTAGAGTCAGGTGGGGTATGTTGCTTCACGGCTTCACATTGCTTGTGTGGGCGAAGATTCAGCTCTCAGTTGAAGCTCCTTTCTGCTGTGAAACAATCTCTGGAGAGGACCAGAACGGAACCCTCAGCCCTCAGCAGCCCTGTGCCTTTCCCTGTGCCCTTCAGGATCTGCTTCATCACGGATTTGTGTTTGCCTCATATGTCATAATACCCGGCATCATATACGATTCGTAGACATAATGTGCACATGTACTGTGTATATATATAACACACATATATATATATATATATATTGTATAGAATACATATTCATGGTCAATAAGCAGAGATCCGAGTCTTTGCCAGCACCATAATCGGCCAACGAACTCAGTCGCGACCCGAGCCCCACATTGCCGCCAGGCCCCGTCGAAGCGGGTCGAACGCGGTCCAAGCCGGTCGCCGTCGGAGTGGCTTTTGTCTTGAGGCCCAAGACAGCAATCAGTTCAAGCTGGAATTCGGAGGAATTCGTTGAAAGAACTGCAGGCACCTTTAGAGATGTTTCTTTCCGCTCATTTGTGGGGCATTTTGACTTCAGGGAACACATCGCCCCCCTGTCTTCGAGCCAAATCTCCTGATCAATTTCAATGACCAACCAGGAAAACTCGAGCACTCCTCGTTCTTTCGACTTCTGGTAGACCCGGCACGGTACGGTAGGGATTAATGACACTCAATCATAGTCCTTATGCCAAATCATGAGGCGTATCAATTGCCTGTACAAATAGTATGACAATGTATGACATGGAATCTTTGGCACTGGTTACCGTTTGAGAGCTTGGCATTGGGAGGATCAGCAAGGAGTTGAACTTGGCATTCATTTGCAGCAAAGCTATAAGTCTCGAGCCCAGTTCAGAGATGTTTAAATGTTTCTGGTGTAGCCCGGCCGAGCAGCCTGAAGCGCCACCTGAGCTGAAGTTTGAAGAAGCACCGGACACTTCGACTGCATGCCAGGTTGAAATCAAAACCAAATCCCGGCGAAGCCAGTCCGAGCCAGATTTGAGCCAGTCCGAGCCGGTGGTTAATCTGGTCCGCAGTAACAAGCGTCCGTCTACCCAGCCTCTTCCGAAGGAGTTCCTCACGGACTTCAGCCAAATCCTACAGGAAGACCCAAGTAAATCTCTCCGCATCACTTTCTGGGGTTCTCCGAACGAAGCCTTCTGTCCAGGAGCGAAGGTGGTGGTGAGCTTTCCTGGGGTGCATGGATTTGCCTGGAATTTTCTAACCAAGCGAGCGCTCGAGGCACACACGCAGCTTCTGACCACCTGCATCTTTTTGCCCAACAAAGATTCTCCTGGTTATGGCTACCATCATGTCATTGATGAGCACACTCAGGCTTGCCACTGTCTTGATCTCTATGGGCATCCAGAAGAGTGGGGCTGCTCCTGGTATCACAAATGGACCCTGAAGACCAAAAAGGCTGCAGAGATGGGATGCCAGCTGTTTGTGGTGACCAAGTCGGATGGTACCCTGGGCTGGTCGCAACAAGGTGAAGTGCGCTTTTTGGACGCCTGCGGCTACAGATATGAGACCATAAGCATCCACAAGTTTGCACTCCGCTTTGCGGACGATGCCCCGGCCGTGGCCGCCTTCCGTGAAAGGCGCAGGAGCTCGAGGGTTTCGATTCAACAAGATCTTAGTGCATAGCGTCTCAAGACTTCATAGCTTTCGGACCAGGAGCGCTTTCCTGGATCTTTGTCATGCATTTGGAACATGTTGCTGTCCCTTTTTGCTTTTGTTGTGCTGATTCTACTGGAAAGTTAGCGCCGCACGCCTTGTGGGCCACGCAGCTGGCCGACAGATTTTACATAGGGAAAAGGTTTTACAGTCCTTGAGCTGAATGTGTGAAGCACTACCAGCCGGGACAGCAGCCCAAGAAGGCTCAGTTATAAGAATGTTTCACTCACAGATCCGACAAAGAGGGAGCCAGTTGTATGCAGCGGTGGAGTGCTGTGAAGCTTACCCGTGCAGCTTCAAGATGAAATTGGAACTTTTATATACCTAGGCTGTACAACAACCAGCCATTATATACATGCCAGTACTAGGTCTCCTTGTAAGATTCTGATCAGCAGAATAGCAGGAAGGTGCTTTCCGCCGGTCCCATTGTATTGACAGAAGTCGATGTGTAATGTCGACGTTCAGTGTGTTGAAGCCCGGACCTGTATTGTCTCAACGGTTTCGTGAGAGCCCAAGCAGAATCCCCAGCAACTCCGTTGCTCCAAAGCTGGTTGAACTACTCACTTGGGGATTTCTCGTACCCAGTGAAACCATGTGAAACTTTTTCGGGTACTGTAGCCCAAGCTGCCTACTCTACCAGGTCCGATTCAGCTTGGCTTCAGCCAGGTTCCTTGAGGCTTCAGCCCGGCTGAGTTGCGGTTGCGGTTCACCGGTCAGACCTGCCTGTGACATGCCCAAGACGCCGCCGGTGCGCAAAAACTGGGCAATTTGCAATTTTTGGCGAGATAGGTGATTGAAGGAGAAACCCTACGACGAGATCCGCCAGCCCAGTGCCAGTGCTGCCAGAAATCAAGAAGTGGGTGTTTTCAGCGGGTAAGAAGCCGGGCTTCCGAGGTTTCAATTGCCGATGCCCATGGCCTGTTGCTTTCGAATGTGGGCCGGCATGCCGACCCACCCAATCTGGATTTGGTGTCCAAATTACTGAACAATCGGTGCGGCACTGCATTCTATGGCATGCTATGGCCACAAAAACTCCATGTGCTCATGGCCTGACCTCACATGGGTCCCAGCTTTCTTCAGAAGAGGTCACCCAACCCCCATCATGATGCGAATACCATGGACTTACCATCACACACGGTGCAAACGGTCCAAACGTGAGGGCCAAAAAATTGTATTCGAAAAGGGTTTGTTGGAGGCCATCGCTATTAGGTAGATATCCAAAAATGATCGCATTTGTTTCCAATAGCTTTTTGTTACTACTAGTAAGGCACTTGTTACTAACTCACCAGCGCTCACGAGTCCTGCAGGTGTGGGGTGTCAGCATAGCAGACACGCACCACCTAAAAGGGGGCAGACAGATGTATACAGAGAGACATATATTGTGATTGACACAAAGGTAGCAACAAAAGATCCTCCTTCCCTCGCACAGCCGCGTGCGTTTTCCACTCACAGCGCACCTGAAGGTTGGTACGAACGGTCGGGCGCCTCGCCCTGCAGTGTCCTCACTGCTTCTATGGCTCAGGTCACGGGTGACCCACCCTACACCACCCTTGCGGCCTCGCACACTCGTGGCTTCGGACGTGAACACACCTGAGTGGGTCAAGACTGGTTCCTCAGTGACCAAAAGGTTCGAAATTCACACTCATCAAAAATTCTATCAATCTTTTTCTTTGGTTGTGTGTCGATCATCCTTCTTGCTGCTGGTCTCCCATTAGAGGGATCCCGGACTCAAGCCACCTAAGGCGTGTTCTGCTGTCAGCTCGCTCTTTCAGCACTTGCAGTTCGTCATTTAGTTGATACATGCCTCGTTGCAAAGTGTATCGGAGGAAAGTTCCTTGCATCACCTTAGTTAGTGCATCAGCGAGCTGAGCTCCTGTATGAACCCATCTTAATTGAATGCCTTCGGATAGCAAATCTTTTATTGCCTTTGCTTGAAGTTGTGTACGGAATTCCTGGCAATTTGGTTGAGCAGTTCGGGTAACCAAATCATACAAAGATTTGCAATCTGTGACAGCTACTGATCGTGGCAAACACTGGGCTAAGGCTGTGGTAGATTGGATTGGTTTGGGCTCACTCTTAATAACCTCATGTGGTCGTTTCCAATTGACTTGGGGATTTTGGATCCATGCCCAATAGAGTCTCATCCAAGATAGCTGGTCTAAGCTTGTTTGGAGCGAAGTTGTTTCGGCTGACAAAGTACTCGTAACTACTTTCTGAATTTGCGGCAACCCCAGGACAACGGGCTGACTGGGCATTGATAGTTCTCACTTATATCCCTATGGGTGGCCAAGATGATCATGCCTGTGTGACTTTCTGGGCTCTTGGCCGACGCAAATGATGCGTCCGAGAATTACAAGAATCTGAGATCCTTGATTGGGATGGGTTGGATTCTGATGCATGTGTCTTTGTATCGTTTTGCTTCATGAAGTGCACGGTTGGCATCGTGCAACGTTTGGACCGTGGCTTTGTTGATCTCACTTTGGATGTAGCTTAGTCGACTTGAAAGATCCGGTCTCGTGTTGATGCTCGCGTACTGAAGACTTCCCACAAGTGCACGGAGCGAGTGTCTCTCTTCGGAGGTCACTTCATCCGTCAGACATGCTCGTCTGCTTGCATTCATGTGGATTGGCTCAATCTTGCTTACATACTTGGATTGGGACATGATGATACTTTTGTCTGCCTGTTGGTTCATCTCAACACCAGTGAACGTGAATTGACCTACTTTCTTTGATCCAAATGGGACTTTGGCTTCTAGCTTTGAGATTTGTTCTTCAAAGTATTGATCTCCTCCACCTAGTCCATCGTCAACATGAACTCCTAGGACCCCCGAAATTTTGCTTTGTCCTGGTTTGTATAGTACGTATGCGCATGGGTCGAAGGGTGCTGGAATGAAGTTCAAATCACGAAGGGTCCGATCCAATTCCTTATGCCACAAATAAGGAGCATCGATCAAACCGTAGGCTGATTTTTCGAGTTTGCAGGTTTGATTGGGTTGAAGTTTCAATGCCTTTCGAAGTTCTTCAACAGGTTCCAGGCCTAGAACTCGATCTTCCTGCGTTTTGCCTTGCAAAAATGCAGCTTTGATATCGAAGCTTTTCAGAGTCCATCCCATGGATGATATTGCTTGCAACAAGAGCATTTTGGATTGCTTTCCAAGTGTCGGCGAGTCCCGGGGTATGCTGTCTAACTGGGGATCTTGATATCCAAGGACTACTAGACGTGCTTTCGGTTTATGGGTCTTTGGTCCTGGTCTGACGTTCTCAGTTGATCCGGTTTGAAGGTCGTCAGCATCAAGGGGTTTCCATACGCATATCCAGCGGCAACGCATTACCTGTTCCGGACACAGCTGATCCCGAAAGATTTTACTCACCGTCCCTGTGTTTAACCAATTTGTGATCTCCTTTTCCTTTGCTTGACGGAAGAGAGCTTGTTCTTCGGTGGACAATTGGTGCATCTTCACTTCTGTTCGGTCACGCTTGGTGGTGGTAGTCATCATGATAAGATCTGTTGCTGGTGAGTTTTCATCCCATTTCATTATTGTTTCTTGGGGAAACAGGAATTCAGCTTTCCATCCTACGGCTTCTGAGTCTATTTGGGTTTGGCACCAGTTGACCTGATCTTCTACACTTAGTAGGGAGTCACATACGAGTTCATCACTGAGATCGGATGCTTCGCTTGGGACCGGCACACTTGCTGCATCCTGATGACCGCCGGGGTCACTCGGCAATTCGATCTGGCTGGACCTCTGACGAATTCGATGTGTTTCCTGTTCCTACGTGTTGTGGGATTATATTGCTATCTTCTTGGCTCTCTGGTGGAGTTGCGGGTGCTTGTTCACGAATGTTGGCATTTTGTGTATCTTCGCCTTCAATCCCTGCGATCGGACTTAGAGCTCGGGGGATATGCTGGGCTTCCATGGCACTTACGGGTCGAACATGTTCAGGGGCTATCTTTACCAAGCTTCCTGCGTGATTACACCAAAGACAATGGGGACCTTCTTGTTGGATGACTCTGGCTGGATCAAACCACCCCCGTTGGGTTGGAGTCTGTCTCCATAGCATCACCCAAGTTCCCCTGTCATAGGATCCTCGGTGAGGACAGCTTCGCCGGAGAACAGCTCTTCGCAACGCAGAGCTGTTGTCTGCACAGTGAAAAGCTCGTCGTGCAGCTTCGCGGTACGCCAGCTTTTCTCGAAATCTGATTCCTTCCTGGGTGTCATCGTCTGCCAGGAGGTGCGTTGGCAATTTCTCGTCCGATGAGATTGATGCTGGAATTCTGGACCCTTTTCCAAAAACAAGAGTTTCTGGGGAGTATCCCTGTTTCTGGCTCAGTGCATTCTTGGCAGAAGTGCAGTGCGATAGTGCTGTCTGCAGGTTGGTGTATGACGTTATTGGATGTTCCTGTTCATACTTCTTGAGCATTTCCTGTAGGATTCCACCATGTCTTTCTACTTTTCCGATTTGCCAGTGTGCACCTGGTGGGGTAACTATTGCTTTGATGTTGAACTGGCCTAGAAAAGTGACAAATTCCTTGGATGTGAATTCCGTCCCTGAGTCTGTGTGAATCTCAATCGGAGCCCCTGCTCATTGGAGCCATCCATTGAGCACCTTGTCTATTGCATCATCACTGCTTTTACCTGGGCTTGCGCATGCTACCTGGTAGTTTGTTCCATAGTCGATGATGTGATAGAAGTGGAAGTTGGTTCCTGCCAGATTCGTGTATACAACACCATCTATCCCGATACAGTCGTTGAAGTCTAGCTCACGTTTGATTGTAGAAGGTCTTTGATGTTTGGGTTCCTTAGTATTCTGACATACGGAACAACTTAGGTCCATGGCAGCTTGACACAATCGGGGTGAGTACCCCTGTTGACGCAGCATTGAACACAGCTTTTGACCATGAGGGTGTCCTAGGTCCTGATGCAATTTCAGCAAGAACGATTTTTCTTCGGCTGATATGGTCTTGAACTTTGGGCCATGGTCAAAACTCGGCATATGGAGTTGACTCGAACTCGCTCCTGTCTCTTTGGTCTGATCCGGATCCAGCTCTGTGACAGGTGCTTGGTCACTACTTGGCAGGCTGACGGTTGCCTCCTGCGGCTCGATGCTTGTTCCCGTTGCCTCGGGACTCATATTCTGTTCGGTCGAATCACCTGATGCTTCTGACTTGGATTGGGGCAAACATGCATACATTGTGATATTGACTCTTGCGGGATGCGGTGGGCGGACTTGCTGCCGATGAGACAGGTCTTGCCAGTATTCCCAGTCCTTTTCTACTTGGATTACCCCCCCTATTCGGCTTACGATGATGGCATGACGATATGGGGCCTCATTCTTTACCAAATCCCTTGGCGGTGGCAATGTTCGATCTGATCCCTTACATGCTTGAACTTTCTTGATTTCTTTTTCGGGGAACATGTTTTGAAGCCTCTCCAAGATTTGGTGGTTTGTGATAAAAGTCTTCCCTACTCTTGGCAACATTGGTTGGATGTCCTTGATGATTTCTTCTAGTTGTCTCTGAGGTGACATGTTCATACTCTGCGATTCGGCCGTCTTGCCGTCAATGCGGCGGCGCTTGCACTCGTTCGAGAATTGCTCCAGGGGTGTTGGTGGCAGTCGCCCACCTTGGGACTTCTGCATGGGAGAACTCACACGGATCCGCTTGGATGCACTTTCCCCACTCGGTTGATCTATTCCTCTGGTTACAAGGGCAGTAACCCATGGCTCATGTTTCACTTTCAACATCACCTTAGCTACTTGTCTTGCAAACTTTCTTGGATAGTTCTCTGTATAGCTACTGACGGTGATTCTCCCGAGAGGCGTTGTCACGGATCCGGCAATGGGT